ATCAGCTCCTGCTGTGCCTCTGAGTGTGTGGTCACCTGCCTGGCACTTCGTGCCCTCTGCCGAGCTGTCTCTCTTATACAGCCTTAGGGTCTGTCAAACTTGGCTTTTCACTGTGATCCACCATCAGAGCCACCTGAACACACAGTCCCTGCAGATGTGAAAATGCCCATTCTTCCCAGAATGTTCCTGTTGCATGACACCCCCCAAAAGCAAACTGAGAGTCTGTACGGATGTTGACTTGTTTTTCCCTCCCAGACATGCTGCACACATCTAAGCTACTAGTTCTGCTCCCTGTGCACTCCTCCATGCTGGGCACAGTTCTGCCTCTGTCCCTGTCCCTGTCTCACCACAGGACAGCCAGCCAGACTGTTGCTGTCCTTGCAGGGAGTAGGATGAGCCATCTACAGATAGAACTGGATCTGGGCTTATGTGAGGGGACATCAGTTAAATCAGTCTGTAGTTCACTTGAAATGTGCATCACTTGCTGACACTAGTGATGCTCTTTTTCATCATCACACATTAGGCTTGCTGGATTCAAGGTGTTGCATCTTTCTAAGCCATATCTATGTGCCCATTATGGCATTAGAGCTTGGACTGTTACTGCTCCCGACTGAACACAGACTGCTGCTCCTGCTGCACCTGGATCCAGTTGCAGCCCATCTCTCATGGGCTCCTAATTACTGTGTTATCACTCCTCGAGTGATTCTCTATTTGTTCTCAGTTGTGTCAGTCAGAGGTTTAGTCAATTCCTCCAACTCGGGAGTCTATGGCTAACAAAATTCCACAGCCCTGAGAAAACCTTGTACCTGCTTTTTGTGACTGGACATGGGAGATAAACTATGGCCTCTGTTCCTCCTGGATCTATAATTCACTGTCCTCCAAATCAAAGCCTAAATATTTTATCTTTCCTTTTGACACAGCTGAAGCTGGGATGGAGATGCAGCTGTTCCCTGTTTCCTAGGACAGTATGTCTAGTACACAGGCATTCTTGTCACAATTTGCTAATGGCAAACATCTACTTAAATGAACTGTGCAAAAACCGATTTGTCCAGTAATTTTATACTTAATTCCAGTGGATTAAGTGCCAGAATTTTCTGCAGATTCAGCATGCCTAGCCTTGTACTTCTTGAAGAGCACAACAGAATTTTAAAGCATTTTCTTTTATATAT